AACTGTTAAAAGTAAGCTCAACTGTTTTCTCTTCCCTTTTAACATGGCTGCCAGACAGCTGAAAGTTACGAGGGCAGCTTGCACTTGCGGCCACACAACCTGTGTGTCTGTGCACAGCACTGGAATGACGGGGCGCTAACCCCACAGGGAGGGCAGAGCCCGCAGTACCTTGTCTGTCCGCGCACACCGCTGGAAGGACATCTTCTTCATGTCCTCGCCGTGGCTCTCGGGGACGCAGCCCGACTGGACGAGGGCGGACACTAGGTCGTCCTCGATGGTCCTGAACTGCGAGGACCCGGCGTTCCTCTGAAAGGAAGAGAGGTGTTTTCTTTTCGTTCCATCACGACACCCCCACAGCCACCCAGGCGGCCGACAACCAGGGCAGGAGCGGCGGCCTGTGCACACACCCTGAAGCTGGGCTCTGCCACCAGAGGGGAGGCTCACATCTCTCCCCGGGATGTGGGAGCTAGGACCACCACCGCCTGAGGCTGACCCACAGCTCCAAAACGCCTCGCCTGACCACCAGAGGAGGGCACGGTAGGCACCACCAGATGCCGTGTCCTCACACCTAATTGTCTGAAAGCAGCCCCCGCGTCGGCCACACCAGGCAGGCCCCCCTACTGTGGCAGTCTCAGAGACAAGCCGTGCTTCAAGAAGCCTAAAGGACACTGAACAAGAACCACGAGCTGACCACAAGAAGGAACGAATGGAGAGTCCACCTGCACAGACCTGGGTACCAAGACCTTTAAGAAAAGGACCAAAGAGGCGGTGACCGTGGGGCTGGTACTGCTGCCCACAGACCTCACTCCCTTAGGTTCTAACACCCAGCTCTGTCATCTCCATGGATACAACAGAGAACAACTGCTGGCTCCTCTCCTGAGCTTCCCAAGTGCCACCACCCGTCTGAGTCACCCAGTTCATCTGCAGGCCGCTAAGATGGGAGCTATGATTAGCTTGGCTGATTGCCGAAAGGTTGGAGGTTTGAGTCCACCAGCGGCACCTCAGAAGAAAGGCCTGGCAATCCAATTCTGAAAAATCAGCCACTGAGAACCCTATGAAGGAGAGTTCTACTCTGACACACACGGGGGCGCCACACAACTGGTACTCGTTATGCCTGTCCTAAAGAGGAAACGTGTCTTAGAAGAAGTACAACCAGAATGCTCTTTAGAAGGAAGGATGGCGAGACTACGTCTCACATACTTTGGACATGTTATCAGGAGGGATCAGTCTCTGGAGAAGGACATCATGCTTGGAAAAGTACAAGGTCAGCAAAAACGAGGAAGAGCCTCAACGAGATGAACTGACACAGTGGCTGTAACAATGGGCTCAAGCATAACAATGACTGTGAGGACGGCGCAGGACCAGGCCGTGTTTCGTTCTGTGGCGCATGGGGTCGCTGTGAGTCGGAATTGACTCGATGGTAGCTGACAACAACAACAAAGAGGAAACGGAGGCAGAGAGAGACTCAGTCACTTGCTCGAAGTCACTGGCAGAGCTGAGCTCCGTTTGCTGCCGTGCCAATCAACTATACAGGGAGCACCCAGCACAGCGTCTGACCCGAAGCAGGGCTCAAACAAGAATCTGTCTGTCTCGTTTGAGCGGAGGGGACCCACAGGACAACTCTGAAGTTTTAGAACAGGCACTTGTTCTGAATAGATCATCCTCAGTCTCCGCCCCAGGCCACTCTTGGCTGTCAGAGAAGGAGAAGCTGGACCAGGGGGCGGGTCTGGGAACCCACAGGGACTGCACGCGCCCTGCTCACCTGCATGCCGTGGTAGCCCTTCCCTGAGTAGGCCAGGAGCAGCACCACCTTCCGCTTGGGCAGCTTTGTGCTCTGCCCCTCATCCTCGTTGCTCTTCAGCTTCTTTGCTTTTTGCTCTGTTTCCTCCCAGACTCTGGCTCTACCCTGCCGGCTCCAGCCCTTCTTGTCCTGCTCCTCCTTGGCCCCCACGGGGACGGAGGCCTTGACGTTCTGGGCCATGGGGGCCAAGCTGCAAGGACAGTGGCAGGGTGTGAGCAAGGATAAGGCAGCACCCTGCAAGAGTGGTGGTGATGGTGACAGTGGTGCCAGCAGCAAGGAGCAGAGACCACCTGAGCGGAGTTTGAATCCCAGCCCCACCACCGCCTGAGAAGTGGGAGCACCCACGGAAGTTTACCCCCGCAGCTGTCAGAAAACTGGGGGGTTGGCCTGCGTGTGAGAGGCTGGGCATTGCGCCCCACATGCAGCGCGCGCGCCATGGGGTCCCCAAGTGCGGGCATCGGTACCAGAAGCGATGCGGTCCCAGGCGCCGGCTCCGGGCTCCGCAGGCTCTCCACAGGGCCGCGGCCACCACCCGTAGGCTGGGAACGCCCATGCACCGGCGGGCGGTGCGGGAGCGCGGGGCGCGCGCCCGACCCTGACCTCTCCGGGCGCCGACGCCCCAGCCCCAACCTCCCGAACTCTGACCACCCCTCTGACCCCCTGCCGAGACCCCTCCCTCTCGGTGTCCCCGTGCGCTCCCAGGGCCTCGGCTAACCCCTGACCCCAGGGCTGACCTCTGACCTCCCGCAGCCCTTCTCACTCCCACCCCACATCCCCGCCGAGTTGGCTTTCTCGGGGGAGTGGGGACACCCCGAGTGCCCGACCCGGACGAGCAGGAAGCACCCCCACCCGACCCCACTCACGGCGCCGCTGACTGAACCGAAACCGAACCACGTGGGCAAAGGCGGAAGTGGAGTGGACGCTAGACGGCGGCCGAGTGGGGACAAAACTCCTCTGGGCGAAGAAGGGGGCGGGGCCCCGCCTTCGACATATTGCAGGCGGTGCTGAGGTTCTGCGAGCGTGAAGCGGACGGGCGGGGCTGGG